GCTTTGATTTCAGTTATAGGTATTAGGTGACCTGCTGGGCTTTGTAAAGCTCATTATATGTGGTTGATATTTTCAGGTCAGGGCAAGAGAGCAGGAGTTTGAGGTTGATCAGGAATCTTCAGGTTTTTGTTCTTTTTGGTTAGTGATTCTTTTGTACTCAGGACAGGATAGATTTCAGTTCATGTATAGTTCCTGAGTATTGTATATGATCTTTTGAGATGAATCGACCTGTACATTGATGTTTTAAATGTTATAGATTTTTGTTAGACTGCTTGATTGATGTTATAGATAGCTCTGGTAATTGGTTTTGATGAATTGATTGAAATTCTTTCCAAGTTAGATCTTGGGGCGTCACACTTAACCTCTATCTTTTGTCTCTCTTCGCTTTATATACAATTCTTCTCACAGAATAGACAAAGAAGCACATTACGATTACATCAAAGAATAGTTCAACAACATTCTGTGGCTTCTCAGTCAAACGACAACTAACAATGTCCTATGTTAGACATCAGTCATGGCCCTTCATCAGGATTGTCAACAGGAGTTCATCAATTTTCATTTCAAGTGGCAGTCTCCCGCTGAATCTTTACATTGTATATTTGTCTTCCTTAATTGCAGGAAATACTATTGTAATCTCAATTACTGGACACATTTTTATTGGGCAAGTCTCTCTCATATTTTTTTATTCGAATTTTTCATGTAAAATTTCTCAATGTTTTTAAAAATCTATCCAATTTTCTCTCGTTATATATTCATGTGCTAGATATTAATCCAAGAAAATTTAAGTCTATCATAATTGATTTTTCTTTATTGCTTAAGAAAAAGATTTTTATAGAGGAAGACAATTCTTTGCTCTTAGAGAATTTTTGTAAAATTTAGACTTTAGCTACATAAATCTTTTTTCATCAATGTATTCTATTAATGGTCAAATTCTCATTTAAATTTAATAAAAAGTTTCATTTTTAATGCTTTCTAACCAAGTCATTTGAGACTTACATGTACCATTTTTAATATATACTAGATTTAATACATCTACACTCTGAATTGACTCATCGGAAGGTTGATAATTTATGTAACGAACTCCTCTAAGATGACTCGCTAATCTTATCCTCCATAGGAGCTACTTTAACCATTTCACATATACTCATTTCACGTTATATCTCTAAAAGTAAAGCCACTTATCCACCTCAACACATCTATGTAACACTTAGGCTTCGTTTGGGATGGCTTTCTTATTGTTTCTTAAAGCAACTTTTTAGTATAAAAATTAAGAAGCAGCAAAAAAGTTGTCCCAAACGAAACCTTAATTTCATATTTATCTTTTAATGACCAAAATTCTGCACCGTTAAGCATTGTACGTCTCTCTACCATGTTATAGAATTTTTCCTTAAGTTTGATGGTACTTTTCTATCATTTATGCATACCTCTACTTCAACCATCCAATTTGAATTCTATTAATAATATCCACATCCATTTCACCATCATTTTGAATAATAGACTCTGAGATTTCTAAAATATATACTCTATACTCTGTTTAATGATTAAATTGCACAAAATTACAATCCTCCACAGGATCTATTACTATTCCGCACATCTTAAATAAAAACTTTTACTCTAAAATTAGTTTATTTATTTATTTTAGTTCAATTATGAAATTATTAAATTCTCATTGCATATTTATCTGTCATTTGTTATTTCATTCTTACTTTAATTAACATAGCAGCAAACTTTAATAATAAATAAAACTTATTGCATAAGAAAATAAGGAAGTTTGTTGACTTAATTAATACAAATAAATTTTAAGCGGCATCAATTTAAAATTAAGAAATGATCATGTTATCGACAGAAATTCAATGACATTAATTCCCGGAAATAACCCATTGCAAAATGAATTTGGAACGCTGGATCTTGATCGTGCGGTCTATAGTTAGTCAAACTATGGGGGTATTAATGTCATTGAATAGCCTTGTCCCTTTTTTCTGGGGACAGACCAGATGCGTGAACGGCAAGGGATTATCACGTGTGAATCTATTTCAGTATGTGACGAATATACCCCCCCACCACTAAATAACTAATGAGAATTGTAGAGGTGGCTTGGAGGTCAAATATTAAGCGTAAGTTGGATATATCTGGAATTTCATCACAGAACAAGATAATTGGTGCAAATGAGTTTGACTAGAAGAGAAGAGGCAATCAATCATAAATCCAACGGTCTACGAACTCTCAGATTCACTTTAAGAGTTATGAACGGCTACGATGAGTTTGATTTTTTCTGTAATATGAAGGTGTTGTATAAGATTTCTTTTAGAAGGCAATCGGGCCGAGCTGTGACGTTTGTGATGACATGTCTTGAGACCCAAAGCCGCCAGAAGCTGCCAAAATTACTTAGCATTCAGATATATTTCTCTTTTAGAATACATACGATTTTATTATTATTTTATCATAAATTTTTTGTAAAAATTAAGATATATTATCTTCACGATATTTTTTTTATAACAGATTATTTTCATATCTTTTGATATTATAATTTTTAAAATGATTATCTTGAGCTTATTATTTATCAAGTGTTCATAAAGGCCATAAAAGGGGAAAAAATTAAAAAAAAGTATTTTTTTTTAAAATAAAGATTTTTTGGCTTATTTTAATTCAAATAATGGATTTATCTATATTATAAAGGTCATAAAAGGGGAAATTTTTTTTTTAAAAAAGTATTTTTGTTAAAAAATAAAGATTTTTTGGCTTATTTTAATTCAAATAATGGATTTATCTATATTGTTAAAGCCATCAATCATAATTTATTAATCTACATTAATTAGTTTAGTTGATGAAAGTAAACAAAATGAAGCTTAATTTTAAATAATGGATAAATAATTAATTTAGAAATTTTAAAGATAATTGATTAGTATAAAATGAAAATTAATTTCTATAAAAAAAAATTAATGGAATTATTTGTGAGTATTTATCTTCCTTAAATTTTAATAATTGTTATTGATGGGATGTAAATCTACACATTTTATTTATTTCGATTAAAATTTAATAATGATATAATATTGACCATAAATTAATCTTTGAAGCTAATTTTATAATTTTTTTTGTATAAGCTGTTTACTAAACAAACAATTTTGTTTTATGGTTATTAGAATTAATTAATTATTTAAAAGGATAAATAATTGTTAATTTAAATTTTTTTCTTCTCCGAGAAGCTAGGTTTTTGGGTTTTTAATTTCAGTGATGAATCTCGACCATATAAATAGAGCATCCTCTCCCATTCTACGCCACAATCCGAAGCTCACCGCTTCAACTCTCCTCATCCTGCTCCCCTTACTTTATGTCCACATCTTTACTCCACCGTCCGGCGATCACCGATAGTCTACGGCCAGTTGCTCGCCGGAATTTGCCTCGCCAAATGGCTACGTGCGTTGACTGCTGCTGCCGAACGAACTCCGCATCGATCAATCCTCTCTCCTTCGCTCACTCCCAATCCCGGATTAACGAAAACCTGATCGACTGGCCGGTATTCCCTGATATCGCCTGCTCCTCGGACGATTTCCGTGTCCCTGCCGGAGACTCCGGAGAGGACGCCGACGACTTATGGGCCCAGATAAGGGCCGAAGCCCTCTCCGACTCTGACTCTGAGCCGATTCTCTACAGGTACCTTTCCGATCTAATCTTCCGCCACGACTCCCTCGAATCCGCTCTCGCGAATCTCCTGGCTAAAAAGCTCTGCATTCCTAACCTCCTCCCTGCTTCCGATCTTGACGATCTGTTCGCTCAAGCCCTTATCGATGATCAATCAATCATCCGCGCTGCGCGCGCCGACCTCCTCGCGGCGCGCGATCGGGATCCAGCGTGCTCCAAAATGGTGCACTGCTTACTCTACTACAAGGGCTTCCACGCCTGCCAGGCGCATCGCATGGCCCACCGGCTTTGGATCACCGGCCGGCGTGCGGCGGCGATGATGATACAGAGCCGTTCGTCGGAGATTTTTGCGGTGGATATTCACCCTGCTGCAAGAATTGGCTCCGGCCTGCTGCTTGATCATGCCACCGGCGTTGTGATCGGGGAAACGGCTGTAATCGGCAATGATGTCTCGATATTACATAACGTGACGCTGGGGGGCACTGGGAAGGAAACCGGCGACCGGCACCCGAAGATCGAGGATGGAGTGCTGGTCGGAGCCGGCACGCAGATCCTCGGGAACGTGAGAATTGGGAAGGGAGCGAAGGTGGGGGCGGGGTCGGTGGTGCTCAAGGATGTGCCGGCGTGGACGACTGCGGTGGGGAATCCAGCGCGGTTACTGGGAGGCAAGGAGAATCCGGTTCGCCTCGACCGGTTGGCCAGCTTGACTATGGACCACACCTCGTGGTCCGATTATGTTATATGAAATGCGAACCTTTTTACACGAATATACGCTTTGCGTAGGAGTAAAAAGGAATAGTTCGGAATATGTGCTGATTACTTATTTAATTTTATATGTGAATGATGAGAGTATTACTTTTATATTCGTTGTGTATTTAGTACATAATTATATATTTATTGTATATTCTAATTTTTTGAGTACACAATAAATATATAATTTTGTATAAAAAATACATAATAAATATATAATTATATATATTCTAATATTTTACATATAAAATCATATAGCATATTGTGAGGCAAAGCTCAATTTGTTTTGAGCTTTCAAGAATGGATTCTGTTTTAGCTGAATAAGGCAAGAGGAAGAGCTAGAAGATGTTTAGGACTCCTGGATTCTAAAACAGTTTTTTGAATTAAAAATTATTGTAAAATAAATTCAAGTAATTATTATTTTTTATTTGGTACAATGAATGCATTGTAAAATTTAACGGTGATGATGACCGGTGGTTGGCACTAGGAGGCCTATGGTCGAATTGCTTGATAATGTGTGATTCTTTCTATTATATTTTTAACTAGATGACGATTTTTTATTATTAGGAGTCTCTTATGTTATGCCGATCGTTATGCTGATCAGTCACGATTCTGTTAAATACATATCGTTTTGTATTATCTTTCATTGTGTAGGTTTGCTACAAAAATAGCACAAACCTTGTTGTTGTAGCGAATTTTAACTCATTGGTTGGCTTATGAAGTTTTGTTGCAGTAATAAAACAAACAAGTATTTTGGTTCATTCCAAAAAGTGATTTTAGTACTAATAGTACTCTAAATTCATATCATATAAATAATAGACTTGAGTTTTTACTTCTTTTTTCTTCTTTTATTTTTCATTATTTTTAGTTGAATTGAAAATCTTAGTTGAAAATTAAATTTGTAATTTTTTTATTGAATTCTCAATTATTAAATTTCTTTTCATTTCTAAGAAATACATTGTAAAATTCAATTATGATGATGACTGGTTTGATTAGCAGTATATGATTGACCCTAAATTTCCTAAATGTTATAAACAAAGCAATGATAATGGAGAAAATTTGAGTGAACATCATATTTATGTTGAGGTAAATATAATTTAAGTTTTATAGAAGTAATGATGTGTTTTAAAACAATTTGGATGACATTTTCCATCCAATTTTTTTGTTTGAAACTACAAGTAGTGCTTGATATGTCCTCAAAAATTTATCTTGATCGGGCACGAATCTCGAGGCAAAAAGCTAGTTGGAAACTTCAAAAATTAATTCAGAGAGCACCTGAACTCCGATTTCAGCGAGCTTACAGTCAAATTTTGTATAAAAAATACATAATAAATATATAATTATATATATTCTAATATTTTACATATAAAATCATATAGCATATTGTGAGGCAAAGCTCAATTTGTTTTGAGCTTTCAAGAATGGATTCTGTTTTAGCTGAATAAGGCAAGAGGAAGAGCTTGAAGATGTTTAGGACTCCTGGATTTCTAAAACAGTTTTCTGAATTAAAAATTATTGTAAAATAAATTCAAGTGATTATTATTTTTTTATTTGGTAAAATGAATGCATTGTAAAATTCAACAGTGATGATGATCGGTGGTTGGCACCAGAAGGCCTACGGTCGAATTGCTTGATAATGTGTGATTTTTAGCTAGATGATGATTTTTTATTATTAGGTGTCTCTTATGTTATGTCGATTGTTATGCTGATCATTCACGATTCTGTTAAATACATATCGTTTTGTATTATCTTTCATTGTGTAGGTTTGCTACAAAAATAACACAAACCTTGTTGTTGTAGCGAATTTTAACTCATTGGTTGGCTTATGAAGTTTTGTTGCAGTAATAAAACAAACAAGTATTTTGGTTCATTCCAAAACATGATTTTAGTACTAATAGTACTCTAAATTCATATCATATAAATAATAGACTTGAGTTTTTACTTCTTTTTCTTCTTTTATTTTTTATTATTTTTAATTGAATTGAAAATCTTAGTTGAAAATTAAATTTGTAATTTTTTTATTGAATTCTCAATTATTAAATTTCTTTCATTTCTAAGAAATACATTGTAAAATTCAATTATGATGATGACTGGTTTGATTAGCAGTATATGATTGTCCCTAAATTTCCTAAATGTTACAAACAAAGCAATGATAATGGAGAAAATTTGAGTGAAAATCATATTTATGTTGAGGTAAATATAATTTAAGTTTTATAGAATTAATGATGTGTTTTAAAATAATTTGGATGACAATTTCCAAACAAATTTTTTGTTTGAAACTACAAGTAGTGCTATTGGATGATAGATTTCAACACCTTTGTTGAGTCTTGGAATATCATGGTGGCAGAGAAATATAAATTTTAACGTATTAGTTTTGTACGAAGATTCAACGCACATTCAGATAAAAAGAGATGGTGTAACATTCATAAGAGACACCAAGATTTTTATGTGGAAAATCTTGAAAATGGGGAAAATCACGGAGCCTATACCAGTTTGAATGAATCCACTATCATTTACAGTCGAGTACAAATGAGGCCCCGGGGGGGAGGCCTTAGCTTGATATAATAAATATACATCATATAAAATGTATTACATGATGAGACTTGAAAGAATCACTATTGATACATATGTTCGGTTGGTAGAATCATAGTCAACAGGCAATTGAGGTCAGAAAGATCATAGTCTGGTGATGGTGGCTGGAGGGACAATAGTCGGCATACGATAGTGGTTAGAAAAGATCGTTTTCTAGCGATGGAGATCAAAAGGACCATTGACTGGCGGAAGTCTGGTGTCTGATAGAAATACATCGATGGACAGAAGTTTGGCATCGGGAAGAAATTAGACGAAAGTCCGGCAATTCACAAAAGTTCAACGACATGTGGAAGTTCGACATCTTGTAGAAGTCCGATGAAAAGTCTGGCGACGTGCAGAAATCCGGAGACGTGTAGAAGTTCGATGTCGGATATAACTACGACGAAAGTCCGGTGACAGACAGAAGTCCGACAACGGGCGGAAGTCCGTGTCTAGTAGAAATCTGACGATGAATAAAAGTCTGGCGTTGGGTAGAAGTCCAGCGACAGGCGAAAGTTTGACGTCGGGCAGAAATCCGATGACGAGCGGAAGTCCGGCGTCATGTAGAAATTTGGCGACATGCAAAAATGTGTCGTCAGTTGGTGGCCGGGAGGTGATCGAGAAGAAGTCTGATGGCAAGATAACACTTCCTTCTGAAGTATATCAAACTAATAGGATTTTGAAGTTCAGATTTGCGGGCCCATAAATTTAGTTTGGGCGGTGTTGGATTTGTGGGGGGCGGGGCCGGCACGTCGCAACCAGCGGAGGATTTTTGGCCTCAGGTTATCACATGGATGGTCGACAACCAGCGTTACAAAATCTATGTTATTATTTAAAAATAAAAAAAATTGACTCCTAGCGTTACAAAACGGGAATTTGTTTGGGTCTGAGCTTTTCGGGTTTGGACCTTCGTGCGAACTGTACAGCCAGAAATGAGAAGTTATTCGTTAGCTTTAAATTCTTATTTCGATTTTTTCCGGGTGGGAATTGGGATAGATATCTGATATCTCACTGCTTTACTGTTTAGATTTTATATCACTGATTCACTTATAAATTTTTTCCCAAATTTAATGGAAAAATATTATTCTTTATATTTATTGTAGTAGTTATATATATAAAAAATTATTATATAGTTTTTCAAAATTATGTAATATTTACAGTAATTCAAAAAATTTATTTTTCTCATAATAATTTTATAATCATCTTTAAAAGAATTTATAAACCCCTCAAATTGATATAATCTCAAGCACATAAAAAATTGATTACAAATAAAATTCATAATTTTTTAGTGAGGGCACAAATTATATATTTTCAAATATTCTTTTACTTTTTTTTCATTATAGCTTAAGGCCAGCATTGGCAGCTTTAAAAAATTTATTTATATTTGATATTTAAAAAGATAAAATATAAGATAATAAAAAAACTTAAAATTTATAATGGACATTTTTAATATTCTAAAAAAAATAAATAATTATTTTATTATTAATATATTCATATATGTTTTTTTCTCAATATAATACAAGTGATTAAAATATTATTTTAGCTGACAGCTGCAGCGGGCGAGCGGGCAGCCTTGGGCACGTTGTAGCGTGCTGGC